CGCAGCCATTCGTAAATGGTTAACTACTATTTTGCAGGCGCTTGATTACATTGCCAAGGTACGATTGAAAGTGCTTGCAATGGTCGACTACAACCGTCTGATGCGGTCAAAATAATCAACCATGCCACTTGAGATATGTCTCCCAACTTATGCGCGCTTACTCATGCCACTATGTCACTTAAGTGTCTCCCGACTTGTATGTGCGCGCTTAATTCCACTATGTCACTTTCCTTAGCCATGCTGCTCTTTGCCGTATTAACGTTGCCCCCCACTTACCACGTTGAGGTGGCAGCATGCAAGCGGGTTTGGTGCCTAAACGAACTCCAAACTCACGGAATACCGTTAGGACTTTTTAAATATACCTCTCCGTTTAGCAGTCTACCGCATTAGTAGACGTCAACCCTCGTTCGCGATTTTAGTTTGAGGTGGTTGCAACATGTAAAGGCAGTTTACCGTCATATCGAGACAGGTTGCTCGTGCACATTGCACAGGGGCCGTGCACTGGGGCCGTGCACTGGGGCGGACAAGCCGTATTTACCACGCCCCTTTTTTGTGTCAAACTCATGTCCGTCTCAAGGTTTGTGTCAAACTCATGTTTCCCGACTTATATGTGCGGTATTTACTCACGCCCCTTTTTTGTGTCAAACTCATGTCCGCCAAAAGTTGTCTCAAGGTTTGTGTCAAACTCATGTCTCCCAACTTATATGTGCGGTATTTACTCACGCCCCTTTTTATGTCAAACTCATGTCCGCCAAAAGTTGTCTCAGGGTTTGTGTCAAACTCATGTCTCCCGACTCCTCTCCGTTTACCACGTTAGGCGGCAGTTTACCGTCATACCGAGGACAGGTTGCTCGTGCACATTGCACAGGGCTGTCAAACTCATAGTTGTATTTACTCACGCCTTATTACTCTCCAACATCTCCAACAACACTTCATGAAATTCTTTCTCGCGGTCCTTCGCGGTTACGTTCTCTCCCATCGTTGCGTAATTTTGCTCAATTCTCAAATATGGTAAACAACCCGCACTGTGTTGCCCATTTGTTTTAATTTTAGTAACTTGCCCCTTAAAAGTTAAGGGTATTACGCTTCGTTTATTGCGTAAGCCGAAAAAATCTTTATCAGCATAAGCAACATTTCGCTCGACCCCTTTTCTGTCCCCTTTACTCGCGCTCTCTTACGAATTACTCTCCAACAACACTTTACTAATCTTACTACACTCATCGAAATGCTTTCCCTTGCTTTTTTCAACACTTCATGAAATTCTTTCTCGCGGTCCTTCGCGGTTCCGTTCTCTCCCATCGTTGCGTAATCTTGCTCAATTCTCAAATATGGTAAACAACCCGCACTGTGTTGCCCATTTGTTTTAATTTTAGTAACTTGCTCCTTAAAAGTTAAGAGTATTATGCGTCGTTTATTGCGTAAGCCGATAGCCATTAGAAAAAAATTTTTTTTCTTAATTTAGTAATTCGCTTCTCAGGTTATCAACATAAGCAATATTTGACTCGATCCTTATTGATATCAAACTTTTAGATCTAATTTTAGTAACTCGCCCCTTAAAAAGTTTTTTACTATTGTTATTTTGATTTTACAATAGCAAACTGTGAGCAAATTACTAAATTGAGGAAAAAAAAATTTTTTTGCCCACTTTTCTTTTCATAAAACTCTTAAAAGTTTGTTTGTCTGTCTATTATATAGCCAAGCGTATTACGTTTACACTTCGCTATAAAGTTTTATCAAAGCCGCCTAAGTTGTTTTATATTACCAACAATTGCTATGCGCTCTTGAAGAGAAACATGTCGTTATTCATAAGGCTTATTAAAGTAAAAAAGTGGCATGGTCGGTTATAACTAACTTACGCAAAGTCTTCATAGCAAGCTTTTACAACGCACAAAACGTTGTGTTGCTTGCTGATCTCGCTGTGTTGCTTTATTGGTATAAAGAAAAACCTTTTTGCATGAGAACTTGGCTCGACATTAAATTACTAATATTTCCGATCTTTTGTCTCTATCCTATCCACTAGATACCACTGCGAGCCGTCGCTTTTTCGACCTTTAGTCAAGTCATGTCTCTTGATCTCGACGCCGGTCAATCGTTGCACAATAAATAGCCTTTATGTTTTCTACCCATAAGATTCCTTCGCGCAAGCTTGTTGTTCAAGTCATGTCTCTTGGTCTTTAATGGGACATAATGCAATCGACGCCGGTCAATCGTTGCACAATGGCCTTGGTGTTTATCTACCTATCAGATTCCTTCGCGCAAGCTTTACGCTGATCTTATCTTGTTTAAGCTGACGACCAAGGGCGGTTAACTTTCGGTCCAATTATGCATATGAAGTTTAATTGCAACGGGAAGCCGGGAATAATTCGGTTATCTTTGAAGGTCGTGGCCACCATGGGACGACATGTTCAAGTATGTTATGTTTTTCATATGTTCGCTTGTTAAATCGACTTGTAAAGTTTATAGTTTGAAAACCCATTAATTAATATCTTCAATTTAGATATCTGAATTAAAACCAATTTGGATTTGCTCACAAAGCTAACCAAAAACGCCTGCAAATAGTTAGATCTAACTAGGATCAACACTACTTGGATGCTTCGAAGAAAACTCTAGTTTCATCGGCCATTGTTCAATTACGCAAATCTTATGTTTTACTCTCTTCAATCCTTCTGGACGATCTTATTCGGTCGATGCAAATGAGTATAATTGTCCGCGAGTAGAATCGAGCGTATTGAAAACTAGAGAAATGTGTTTTGATTACCTACGAATCTATCAGTGTAATCAGGAAGATGACAATTGTCCGGCTATTTATGGATAATGCTCAAAGAGGAGAATGAATGAACACACAAAGCGGGGCTAATTGATTTTCTGTCTTTGTACCTGAGATCTCAATTATGGACAGTGAAATTCGATGGCGAATGCCGATCAGAGTCTTCACGTTCATTATATCGAGTTTTCACTATATCGAGGATCAGCCCTTTTCATGAGAATTATTATAATCATACGGAATACGATCTGGTTCAACTCGGTAAAGGTATTATCTATGATCTTGAACTTATTTGAAATGTTGTTTAACACTGTAATTAACGTACATCAAAGCCATTCCTGAACGGGCGTCATGGGAAAACCATATTGTCATCAACTGCATTATGTCTGTTATTGTTAACAGCCATTCATTAAAAGTTTCCTTCATAGGCATATTCCCACGTTCCCTCTGCAGCTGGTAGATCTGATCTTCACACACACGTTCACACACACGATCTTCACTAAATCGGTATTGCCGTCATAAGTGACGATAATTGCCCAAGAATTCTGGATAGTCGTGTTGAAAACGATAAGTATATGTGTATGATAGCAGCGTTTGACTAAAAGCCGCAAACGCTGCTCCTCAAGATTCAAATCACACCTTTAGCGCGTTTATCTTTACATTATTTCACTTCCTTTTCAGATATTAGTTTGGTTTTACTGATGAATTTAGTTTCATTATGACAGTTTTAGGAATGTTTCAAGGATAGTTCATTGCCTTTTCAAATTATCACGCTAATGCGCAATCAAGTAGAAATCGTTAATATCAGAGATATCAATTTCGGACGATTCCAATAAACGATCGCTATTTTGCAACAAAGTATATTGATATAAGATCCAACATGTTTGTAGTCCCTTTATTTAGTGACAATTTTTTTGACATGCCACCGTTGATGTGATTCATCTACGTAAGTTGATTTGTAAAGTCAGAGATTTAACCTTTGTTATAACTACTACAAAAAGTCAAATCGTCAGTGTCAGATGCTCAACAAGTATGCAGGAGAAATGCACAAATTGGTAACACGGATATATCAAAGAGGGAAAGGGATATGAATCTCATGATGATCAGTTTACACTCCATCTGATGCTTTGTCATCCAAACACTAGATCTAAACATTGATATCAAAGATATCTGATTACGAAATAATAGAATGCACAGGTTATGGCCATCGAAAGTTAATCTGGCTAAAGTGAGTGCTACGGATATTTTACATTAACACCCATTTATTAATTCTATAGTTAAAAGTGATGTTGTCTCTAATACATTGACTATTATTCTAATATTAGTACTGACATTCAGCGGAGCATAAACGAATTATATATTAAGCACTTGTGCGGGACTATGGTCACCCTTGAAATTCGGTTACGAAGCTAGGCCCTAATCCTTACACTCGCTTGGATATTTTAGTGAAAGTTGCCATTCAATGTGTCTGTAATCTCCAACCGCGATTCTATACATCGATATGCAGAGGGAATGATCTCGATTAAGTAATTTCTTGGTATTGAAAGCCGTGGTATTTCCTAAGTAAAATAAGTAACCGGGTCAATAATGCTGCGAATAATTCGTAAGCGTTGACGCGACTAAAACTTACGTCTTCGGATAAGCCTAGGAGATAAGCATATAGACATTTCAATACGCTTTCGTGAGCGATTATTAAAACATCGTTTTTCTCCCGCTCCAGTTCAAGGATGATGGACTCTAATCTTATTGCTAGATCGTGATAAGACTGCAACACATTCGACGGTTAGAAATTAGTAATCCATACAATTCAATAAGTACGTGAGTATTCACGTGTATGTTATGTTACAGAACATGTACCTCTCCTCGCGGATATCTATGATAATATGGGTCCTTCTTAGCATTAAGGTATTCTCGAGGATACTGAGTCTGTGTTTAATTATTAACGAATTAATTATCAATTCCTAGTGATATCTCAGCGGTCTACCAAGCGTTATTCTTACCCTAATTTGCTCATCGGTCAACCCATCAGCGACGCCAAGATTAAGTGCAGCCATGCCTGGTCGATGTTCAACGAGATAATTTGCTTCAGCAAATGGCCTGCACGTTTCTGAAGATTTCTTTCGGGACGATGTCCATACCTAAAAAATAAATGTGAATATTTCTTTCATGGATATGACTTCATTGTTCTGTGCAATAGTAGTACTTACAACTAGTGGCCTCGTATCCTCTCCCCACCCCTGCTCCTTTCGCTCTTTTCGTTCTCGGTTTCTCAAAGCAATTAGAAAATTCTTCAATCTTCTCGCATAATTGATGCCCGACGCGTTCAATTCTGCATCCACTTTCTCCGTTATCTCGTTTGTAGATTCACCTGCCTAGTAACATTATCCACGATAATCACATTAATTTGTACTCAATTTGTACTCATGTCAGTTACGCTTGATAGTTACACTTGATACATACTCTCGCAAAGTAAATGATCCTTGGACAAATATGAAGATGCATCAAGTAATAGACGATTCGGGACTGCATATGAAATACATGAATATACATATGTTGGAATTGCAACATTAATTAAACATGTGCGCTATTCATATGATATACCCGTACCTGGAGATAGCCATTGACGTTATTTACAATGATCTGTTCACCGGCATTAATCAACTTGACGTAACTTAATATACTGTCATTAACAGTTTCATATTCTATGAGGTGATCTCCAATACGTCCCTATTCATGAGGATTTGGATGAGATACATGCTAAGTAACTAGACGTTGAAACTTTTCAGAAAGAGATTCCATATAGTCACTTACCCAATAATTAGACATGACATCCTCTTTATCCCATCCGACGTACTAATTTGATAATCAAGCATGTTAAACCTTCGCTTCGCTAATGCATTACCGTATCCATATAATTTGTTATCTCAAATGATGAAAGCACTCACATCAGGTGACAATATCTTCACGCTTCGGATATTAGCTTCTATGATTTCTGGTTTGTCGCATATTGATTCTACACAAACGACATTATATTTAAATATTTGTCATCACATTCAACGCACATACCAACCGACTACAATACGTGAACGTACTCACCTATAAATACAGGCTACAAAAAAGAAACCAGATACCAAATGATCAGACATTAATGAACCAAGGACATTTAAAAGGACAGAGACTCTATAATAATCGCTTACGCACGCGGATACGCTTATTGACCAAAAGCTCGTATACTTCTCGACGCTTTTCATCGGTTGTGTTGCTAGCATCGTATATCCCTACTTGTCCGCCTCCTTCAAACCATTCGATCATAGCCTGTAGACAAAGTTGGATCACTTGGTGTCGTTTCTCCACAAGCGCTGCGTCATCTAGACATACACAAAGCTCAGCATTAGAGAGAGCAATCGATGGGTTGGTAGATTATTATTTAGATCGATTATCATACTTGGAGAGAAAAAACCTTCAGGTAGTTGGGCTATCGTGCCAAGTTCTTGTCGTCGATAATTGCCAAGACTAAAGACCTCCGTATTAACACCCAACCACCGCAAATATCGACATAGTGACCTTGCAATATGGGTTTTCCCTCGAGCTGGCAAACTATTAGAAGAAAGTTATCTAAGCATTTGATTATTCGGATCCGCCTTACAAAACACAGGCGAATATGGATAAAAGATGAATATACCCGACGGTAATAAGAGCTACTGCACCGGCGTGGAACAATCTTCCAGAGGTAGTTTTATACAACTGTGCAGCCATTTGTGAAGTTTGGTTTTTCGAATCCTTCGAATGCGTCCCCCATTTAAACAAACCCTTATCGTTCGATAAGTTTAGATCAAATGGATGAATCTTTTAATCTTATCCAATCGGGATAAAGGCTGGTTGCACGGTGCGTGTACGCCTTCCCACTAAGCAATCTAATCGTTATCACCGGTGGGGAGATGCTGTATCAAAACACTCATGTGAACGATCAGGCTTTGTGGTTGACATCTCACTAAAAGGGAAGTTTCTGCATACCAATCATAATTACAAATGACCACATGGACAGGACGGTGCATAAATTTGAATATACAAAATCGTCGATCAATAGAACTAGTTACACGAATATTTGTTTTAGTTTGGTAACTATTGTTTAAGTTCTGGCTCCATCGGCACGTTCTGCCAGAGACGAGGTCTTGGATATTATAAACATATCGCAACATGGTTTTGACAAAGAATGCAAGACGTTACACGCAAGGGTTTAACGAGAATGTTGACCTGATTTTATTATTGAAGAAAATAAATGTTAACTTAAAATGTGTGGAAACCTCGGTCTTCCATAAGCGAGTTTCTACTACTTAGACAATTGTAATCGTAAACAAATTAGTCATATGCTGAGCAAACGTCTATGTAATGAATTAGTTTATTGCAAACGAAACCTTTTAACAAACTGACCGTAATACATGCATTAAGTCAACTTGGGGTTTTAAAAGCAAAAATTCGCTAGCGTATGCCCTGGTCGCAAGTTGAAACAAATTTCTTATGGTTATTAACTACACGTCTGCAGCGTTTTGAGTAAAATGCTTGGTTACAACGTTGCAGGCGTAGGCGTCTCTTTAACCCGTTTTTTATTCAGGGGTTAGAAGACATTTAACAAAACAACGGGTGCGATGAATTCTTTTAAGTATATTAGCGATGAACAAATAATGCGAAAAATCAAAAATTACGGCTTTTCGAGAAATTCTGTAAAATATTTTAGATTATAATTAGCATGCGGTCAACCACCTCTTACCAAATATTGTATAATAACGACGCACATTTTTCTTATAAACCTATGCCTCGCAAAATCTCCTCCAATGCAATAACTTTTGTCAATAACGAATCACAGAAGCTTTTTCCCGCAAATCATTCTCAATTACGAGTCTATGTTTATTATATAAGTAAGAAGCAGAGCTTCGAGTCTCCGAATCATCCATAGCCTGAACCAATCCATTATAGGCATTGCGCATGACTATATCAGGTCCAATTCACTCACATTTAAAGTGATCGCACTGCACGTAATAACAATTGCATGTAAAAAATAAAACTTCATTGCTTGAACAGAGCCCAACAACAATCACAAAAGTAACGTTTTTGGTGAAAATTGTAGTCTATATGATAGCATGATGGTATGAATGGGAGACCATGTTTTCAACAATTTGTAATTCGGTTTTTTTTATTTAAAGACTTGAAGATGAATTGTAAAAGATTATAATTGACACACATATTTTGTCATCTTGACTTTATTATTTCTTTAACAAACAAAGTGAAGATTCACTAGAGCGATTGCATGGGAGGAAATACTCGGTCCCAAAGCCATTAATGAGTACCCCTATACTTGGTCGCGCTAGTGAATCTATGCTACATATTATTATTATTCCTATTAACACCACCATTTTTCTTCTCCTTTTCTTTATCAACCCATTCCTGTATTGCTTCGACAGTCAATTTCCGTGGATTGGTTTTTCGTTGGTAGAAGTTATTCAGTGTAGAGATGGCAATGCCTTTTCCCCCGCGTAACTCGCGGATTTGAGTGGAATAAAAAGTCCGAGTCCAGCTCAGATTTTGTATCAAATAAATCTTTCCACGGATTTTCAACGCCCTCTGCGTATTTTCGTACGCTGAGCAGCTTACTGGATTTAGATTAGATTTTGATTCTGTTTAAATCGGCTGCTTGAATTACTATTTCAAGCTTTTGATTTATATTGCAGAGTTGAATGTATGTTTTATAATGGAGCAAATGACCAACGACAAGTCCACAAACGAATTCAATGAAAAGAAACATTTTTTTATGATTTATGTTTGCTTTTTTATAGAATGATTTGTTTCAGTATTGATGCTGAAAAGATTTAATTCGCAAGTATAGGTGCGAACGCCGTCATATTTTTTGGTATTATCTAAAAAAAGATATGCCATAGGATAACCGCTACCATCAATTTGACCCAATACAGCATACAGCTCAAACCAAGTGCGTTTGTTTTATCTACAAATTGTAATTCCAAATTAGAGTAAATAATAAATTGCAGGCAATATGAAACAATAAATGATTACGCTTATTCTTACAAGTTGCATCAATAATTATTTCATTATTTTTCAAAAAATTGAAAAAGGTTGTTAGAAAGCCCACGTGTTTAATTCCGGAAGTATCATTATGTAATATTATAGTAAACCCAGATTCTTCTAAAAGGTGTTGTGCAGAAATAAGTTGATCGGTATCTCTTAGATATTGTTGCTGCATCAGATTTGTCCACCAACAGTGAACCTGCTTTTGAGTGAGGTTCGGGTAATTTCTTTCTATTGGTGCAAGATGTAATTGCTGGCGAATTTGATCTTTAATTTCTGGCGTTACTCCATTTTTTCTGGTCGTTGTCGTAATTTATCTTAATTTTCAATAAATTATTGCACTCAAATCGAGGCATAGGTCTATCACGTTGTTTCTCAACTTCGAAAGTCTTTCTTGGTTTCCGGGACAGGTATTGTGATTGGGAACAGTGGAAGTTGAAATGGAAACTTCCTCGCCATGGTACTCTACGCTAAAGCTGATGCGAAATCAGATAGTAAGTTTGAATATACAGTATGTTGTATCACTATAAAAAGATTATTTTATCTTACTTGTAAGAATATCCATCACATTCTTCAACAGACTTAGCAATATCTTTTGCTAGATTTTTAGAATTGTCTTCACAAGAGTCAAAATCATCGATTTTTAAAGTACAATTAAACTTGAAGCCTTGATTACCACTTTCAAGAAACTCGTCATTATTGTTTGTGATAATATTATTTGCTTTATTTTTTGTTTAACTTCTGCTCTTGAAAGAATCCGGGCGTTCGGTTAAACTATTTCCTCTCTTTCTTGCAATGTCTTGTAAGATTGCTCGCGGCATTGAGTACAGGTTCTTCTTAGAGGGCCTTTCACAGTTTGAAAAAAAGAAATGGGTTTAGATTGAAGGCAGCAAGTGCACATTTTTTCCTGTTCCATTGTCCGAGTGTAGTTTTAGACGGCTATTTACTGTAATAGATGCAATTTGTATTTAGAAACTGGGAGTTTTATTGCTGATACTTTCTCTCACACTTTGTATTTATATCTTTACGGCCAGCGAATAATCGCGTGATTCATAATTGGGTGATGTATAAATTAGTTCGACAATTATCAATCATACGATATGATACTTCGTAATCAATTGTTAAATTTTCGACAATGTAATGAATTATACGGTAATCTTGCAGACACAGTATATCAAAATTGTTAATTTTTTCAACAATACCAACCATCAATCATATGACGATACTTCGTAATATCGGAGATACAGTAAATCAAGATTGTTAATTTTTCCACGATGCAAATCGTAATTCCGCAGATATGTGTTAATCATGAACTAAATAAGTCATGGTTGTAACATTGATGATTAATTTGTATAATCGTATGATTGTCTACTACATAAAGATAGTAAAAAATAATAATAAAATAAAATAAAAAAATAAAAAATAAAAATAAAAATAAAAAATAAAAATAAAAATAAAAAATAACTAGACAAGAATATACTGTCAGAAGTTATTTTATTAAAGACTGTTTAGGCTAATGCTGGCGGACAGCCATTCGTTAAGAAAATCGAAATAGATGGGTATTAATATTATCAAGGCAATCCTTATTATTTATTGTCCACAGAGATACAAAGATTTTAACTGGCGGGAGATGTAATACACAAGTCACGTTGCTTCAACAAATCTTGGCTATGTCACGAAAAACTGGATTTCGAATATTCTCCGTCTCGCGACTTGTTAGTCTCACAGTTAAGCATTTTGCCTTTACGCTCACCATAGGATTTCTATTATCAAACTACCATGGAGATTATCTGCAAATCACTTCGCCTATGGTATGGGGTCTTATGAGTTCGCTGATTGGTGCGTGTCTTACGAGAGGCTCGAGAGAAACAAAATGAAGATCGTGGACTACATGAAGAAAGGACTCACAAACGTTATTAACAACAACATGATTAAGAGTGATATACGACAGAAAGCCACTGAACTATTCAAGAGTTTAATTTAAGTATAATGTTCGAAGCGAGAGGATAGGGATTGCACACATAAGGCAACTATTAGTTGTTTTTTGCTGTACAGTCCTGAAGAGGTAATGGAGACATTGGACTGAGCCAGGGGACTATTAGTCAACTGGAAGATCGACTATTAGTCTGTCCTTTTCTCTAGCCTCCTGTGGCACACTGGAGAACTATTAGTTGTCCAGTGTTGAACTATTAGTTCGCCATGGCCATGTTTATTTGGACATAGGTCTTGATCCTGTTTATATATCATCCGGTCAACTTTTAATTTTCCTTCACTTTATGCTTCTAGACATGGAAATCTTCAAGAAAAACAACAGATTACTTCCAGTTGATTGAGGATTATGATCAGACACAGAAGAAGTTGAAATCGATTGAAATCGATTGAAAATGAGAAAACTATTGAGCTGGCTGAAATACAACGCGTTAAGGTATCATTCTCTTTTCATTTGTAAAATTGTTTACAACATCAATATCAAAGCGTTTCTGATGCTACAAGTTACTCAAACTCGGAATCACGTGGATGAAAATTCATACAAATTACTGTAGCATTTAGTCAGAACCAGAATAACGACTCATCTCAAACTGGATATCACACACAAAACCATATATTACGTCGGAAGAGGAAGAAGAAAATTCATCCTATTATAAGTTGCCAGAACTAAATTCCTTCATAGCTGATTCAGGGGAAACAAATAACGGCTGTGATTTACAAGATAGTGACGATGAATATAATGCTGATCAGACAATCATTGGCGGAAAAAGCGTCGATTGGATTGTAAACGGTATATTTGCATTAGAGAAAGGCTCACACAATACCAGCTACAGAAGAACCCTTTAAGAACAAGTCCAGAATATTACGATGTCATATTCTTTAACTCTAACGATAAATACGATTTTTGAATACTATCATTGATCGCGATATCAAGAAAACGTTGAAAAGAAAATAGATGTCTCTTCATTTGAGACAAAGTTTGCGTTGAATTTTGTAAGGTTAATGTAAGTGTATATTAAACTTGATCTTCCATGATAAACGCGATGAGACTAACTTGATGCTCTTATATAGGGTAAATTTAATGGAAAATGTGAACTTGCTTCTTGATAAAATGTCTGATGGAACATACATAGTTAATGTAGTAGGTCCGATCCTCTCTGAGTTCTTTATTAAAAACAAACGAAGTTGGTATGCATCTTACGGGGAAACATGTCTGAAAGCAAGTGCAAAAGATTGTAATTCGCAAAAATCAGATAATTAGCGCCGATCCACGAAGAGAAAAATAGATACTATTATAACACTGAGAGAAGAGGATGAGGATTTTCCATAATCGAAGTTAGCGGTCCACCAGCGAGGAAGGACTGGTTGCATTTTAAGGATGATAGGATGAAGCTTACGAAAATGCTAAAAACTTTAATAAATCGATTGGCGGAATTAAAACCAAATTCTGATATCACATTAGTTAGGTTGTATGGGTTACAGTCATATTGTAAGTTTTGCTTTATTAAGAACATTATTTACTATTGTAATACTAACCCTCGAAGACGTAGTGAATGAATTTATAGTTTATGAATTTCAGCTAAAATATGCTGAGATTTATACGATGAAGTCAGTACTAGAATTTCCTTTGCCAAAAACGTGGAAAGATATGGTAAAGGCTCATGAAATTGTGATGAGCTTGTTGAAATACGAGGGTTGTATGAATAAATTCATAAAATAAAACACAGGGTTCAGAAAATTAATATTTTGATTTCCCGTGAATTAGTCTTTGTTATCTGAAAGCGCAAGCACTATTACTATACGAGACTTTTTATGGGCCGAAGATAACAAAGTCGGCTCTTTCAAGAAAATGACAACACGAATTATCCATGCTCCTCCCGAGGCAAGAAACGAACTGAAACCAAAATAAGTCTTGTATGTATCACGGGATTTTTATTGCAATCGACTCTGTCTATCAGCTCTTCCCTTATAGTTAGCAATGTTCCAATGTCAAATCCGTCTTATTAAAATCGCTCCACGAATGAGCCAGATGGATGAATTTTACGTTTTTCCCTATAATCATAGCTTATTTTTATCTCTGTAAATATTTTGCTTTCAAGGTTAGTTTTTCAATGTCAAAGTCTCTTCACAAATTGATAAATTATACATATTAATATAGTATTACCCGTATATGAAAAATAATGAATACAATGGCTCCACGGAATATGAAAAGCCATACGTTTCTTGGAGATAGGTTGTAATTGTGGTTGCTCAAAAAGCTTTTGAGAGAAGGGTTTCTGAGGCGTTTCAAGATCTCTCTAGATCCGAACAAGATATATTTATAATGGCTCAACTGAAAGCAATGAATAGTGGAGAAATAACTGCCAGCCGACGCCTTAAAAAGAAGACGCGTACTAATAAGCGAACGTTTTACTACTGAGATCGCAACACGCCTCTTTGTCAGAAACGTATTTCAATATGTTAGGAATTGGCCACACGCACTTCGAAATCATCTGGCAACGAATGGTATAATACCGCGTTCATGGTAACAACCGTTGCTACTGCCGTGAAGAATTTTATTCTGAAATTCATGGACTACAGTCCTGGTAGAAACGTCAACCGAATTACTCAATCGCTTATACTTTTACCAGCTGAAAACGAGTTATATATATAATCGGTTCATCGTGATTTTATTGCAGGTCTCGAAAATGTAGCACGTTGAAATTGTTAAAGTATGATGCGTTTCGCAAGTTATGGCACCAATTAACGCCTTATATTCAAATTATGAGTCCAAGAACGGATTTATGTGATACGTGTCAACAGCTTTGGAATGGCTTACAGGGTAATGCTCGCAAGAGACTTATTGAAGAACATCTGGTGAGAGCTAAGTTGGAGGGAAAATATTACAGAATTAGTAGACGAGCATTTTATAACAAGAAATAAAGCTGATTATTGTAGCTTTAATGCTACTGCTCATTACAATTATGATTGGACACAAAATGTCCCATTCCGATCACAAGATTTATTATCTAAATTCGCGTAAAGTACGTTTATCGGTATTCAAGATAAAACAGTACGCGAACAAATTAATTACGTTCTCGATGAGGACGAAATTATAGGGAAAGGCCCAAATGGTACGCTGAGCATGGTATTCGACGGCATTAAGAGATTGAACAAAGGTGAAAATATTTAAAAATTACGCAGGTGGACAGAATAAAAATAATGCAACTATTCGATTTTACCTATATTTAATAATTTGCGGCTTTTACAAAAGTATTAAATTGAATTTCATGGTACCTGGACACACTAAATTCAAGTGTGATGGTGGTTTTGGATTGATTAAAAAACTCTATAGAAAAACAACATTAGATTGCGTAGGTCATATTGTTGAGGTTGTGGAAAGATCGAGTATAGCTGGATTAAACAAAGCTCAACGTTATGACAATGTGCGCCTAAATAAAGACCTCAAAACCTCAACGTCATGACAATGGAAGAGGCTTTTAATACTTAGATCTGAATTACTAGGGATTTTCTTTAAAAAACTAAATGGTTTACAAAATACCAGCATTCTCTTTGAAGCAGCTCATCCAGGAGTTGTCAAAGCTCAGCTGGTCGCTAATGGTGCTTATACTGAATTTAATTTATCCTTTTCCATCCTAGTCCTAATGCCTCCTCCTTTGGATTATAAAAGGCAAGAATATCTTTATTGTTACGGTCGGGAATTAAATGGGGGGTTTTGGGAGAGCGATTTATCTTTTCGTGTAGGTGTGTTCGCCGACCGGGGGATGTTACCAGGCTTAGCTCGTACTATCGCCCTTACTACGATAGTTGTGCAATTAAGACTGAATTAAGTCTCAAGTGACCTATTTTAATTATGTGCGCTTCTCACTCCCTATCCGAGTTTCAAACACTCGTGAATACAAATAAGGGTGCAAAGGCAAGAATTGTTAGGTAAAATTCAAAGACTTGAAAGGGAGGTTGGATTTTTAAGAAAACAGCAAACTCAACACATTGCTCAAATTGAAGTTAAAGAAAATATGAGATGACCTTGATTGAAATTAAGGAAGTAATTTAAAGGTTGCTAAATTTCATAAGTGATTTTTTTCATCTTTATCTAGATATTCCTGGAGAGTTTTGGTATCGTTGATTTTAGAAACATATGGAGCAATTTTTTCACCCTGTTCTTTCTTTAAAATACTTCTAATGGTGCTGTAATTATTTAGTTTTATAGTAAATTAGTTTCATATTAATATTTTTTATATAGAGATAGGCCTATATTATTATGATCAAACATGTTTAATTGGCGCAGTAACAAGACAAATTTTATTGTTAAGATTGCAAGAATTATCTACCTGTGCAGAATGAGAATGCAATGATAATAATAAGAAAAAGCTCTGGAAAAGAGTATGGTCAATGAAAATGAGACAGAACATATGCTCAATGGAAGTCAAAAAAAGGTTAGCAATCTAAACATTTTACCTGAAAAGAAGATGATACCACAAATTATGTACAGTATGTCCCTCAAGTGGAAAAACTTAAGCTTGTTTAACTGTGACAGCATGGTCTTCTTGAAGAAAGCATGTACAAAAGTTGGGTATCTAACAGCAAATACACTTTTTCTTTTTCTAATATTTGACCAAAAAGTAAAGCACAAAAAAAAAAAAAAAGAAAAATTTAATCAGACAACTACAGCTGGAATTATTAAACACTCCCACTGTAAATATTATAGCCTCATCCCCCTATTATACAACATTATTAATCTGTATGTAGACAATACGAATTCTTTCAGTACCAGTGCAATTGGTGAATAAAATATGCATAGTGTTTCACTTTTGCTTCCTCACTTTATCCGTATAATGTCTTAAAGTCAGCATAGTTGGACCCCCATTTTTTTGTGTGTTTTTTTTTACTGACTTTATCTAGTCCCGACAATATACTTGCATGGAGTTTAACCAATATTCTTGTAAGTGCAAATTATCGATCAACAATTATTATTACATCACGCGGCAATATATTGATATCTGTAGCACAAATCACCATTCTAAGCTCAGAGCGATATTATGAACAAGGGATGGACAGATATCGTTTGAATAGGTGTACAATAATCGCATATCTGCTACACATTTATTATGACCACGCCATGCCAAGATTTCGGAGAGCAAATCGTGCAAAATGGTCTCCATAATATCCGCAGAGATATAGCTTTATTCCTAATAATAGTTTGTTGCATATTATCGTCAGTTGGTTTCTTTTTATAAAAATGTATTTCTTCACATACACATGCATTGTACTACACTCCCTGAAACAAAGTATTGGAACAGTCTTTATGCAAAATCCAGTATAATAACAATAAAAAAAATTTTATATCAGTTTGTAGCTTGGGTTTTCAAGAATCTGTAGTAAATTTTGAAGCGCTTAGCTTTTTGGAATAACAAATAATTAATTAAACAAAAGATCAATTTTGCCGATCCTTAGCTTTAACATTTTAACTTTTATTTTAGTATTGAGTTGGCCATCAATTATTCGAGATACACGCTTGGAATGCTCTCAATCAAATTGGAATATGTTTTATAAGGAATCAGTGACCATTCCTCTTTCAGAGCAATCTCCAATTCCGCGGCGTTTTGTAAAAGAAAGCAAGACACCAAAAAAGAGTCCGAAAAACGTGACAAAATCACACTGATATAAAATTTTTTATTGTTATTATACTGGATTTTGCACAAAGTTAAAAAAACGCTGTTCCAATACTTTGTTCCAGAGAGTGTTGTAAAAAATTATGTATGCATGGACCGAGGATTCCCGAGATGATCACACATTCGTAGATTTCGAGTCTGTGAAGACTTGTATATCTTTCGATGATATTTGTTAAAGTCATTCTAACTTTTGGTTTAATTATAACATTCGAATCACGAGAATGTGGGGGGGGAGAAAATAGATTGGCGTAACGCGGGAGAACGTAATATTTCATCATTCGTCATTTATTATCCGAACTAAGACTTTTATAGTATAAAACCTCTTAACCTACAAATAAGGATGTTAGCAAGAATTCGACCAATGATAATCTCATATTAAAACACGATATTCTATGGCTCTGACCCTTAATATTAACCCTTTACGACATGTCTGCAAAGTCAATAACGTCCTCACCTTCGGACTCGACTTCATACTCGTCGCCATTTGCAAACGGCTCTCCTCTCTTTTCAAACTCGCCAACATTAAATACGCTATGGCCAGAAGCAGCAAATTTGGCTGTTACTACGGGCGCGGCGGCGGCTGTTGCTACTTCATCGACCTCCAAAACAACAGCTCCACAATCTCCAACCACCGTACAGAGGTTCAAGGATCTGTTGATCTTCGAAGAGAGGTTAAAGCAGAACTTAACCATTTTGAGAAAGAAACAACAGAATTATGAAGGTTTGGGGAATAGGAGTAGATAGTGGTATAAGTGATGAGTGTCGAGTCGATTAGTTTGCTGTCAGTGACGAATGTCTTACGGATCGAACATATTATTGTAGCTTTTCTTGGGTCAACTGTAATCATAATAATGTTCTCGTTATACTTTACATGGATACAACCGGCATCAGTAAGCATACTTGTCTATCTTTTTATGAATTCGCATGCACACGCAAATGTTTAACCAAGACTTACTCATATTCCCATCGTTAGACGCCAACCCTCCGTTTTTTTGCTGGAATTTTATTGTTCATCTCAACCGTGACGCTGCTTTGCTTCTTCTTATTCGGAATGTACAATGACAAAGTTGCTGTTGCATTAAAGTACGTCATCATTGCTGCATGGCTTCTGTTCAGAAATCGTTTATCTAATACCATACTCTTACCTCTTGTGATTTAGATACGTTCCACGATGCAACCGTGTCTTAAAATCCTTCAATATGCATTTTAATGAGGGGAATTCTGGTAAATTGACATTTTGTGACAAGATACCGAAGCCACTGCAAGAGGGATTCGAACGGTACAGAAGTGCCTACTATACTAAGAAGAAGGAACGTGCAAAGGCGAAGGCACTAGAAGGAAAGAGCAAGAAAAAGTGAAAATTAAATAGGCTGATCTGCCAAAAATGTGCTCACAAAAGAGAACCAACGGCTTGATGCGGAGCTATTTGCAAAGTCAAGAAACTGTTCGTATGGATCCGTGTTATTATTGTTACCACTTAATTGCAGCGAATACAAACACTGGGTTAGATTTTGTTAGAATGTATTCAACAGAATCAATTATTGAATATATATTAGAATGATGTTGAGCGTATTCTCAGTGAAATGGTAATACAATCAAAAGAAGCTGTCATCACACAAAGGAATAAACCATTATAGCCGGAGGGTCTGATGTCATCAGGCAAGAAGGGTAAATGGTAAAACTTCTCCTCTCAATGGAAGCCATGCTACAGGTATGGAATAGAATCAGGGATTGTAGTCAGCTATCAAAATCGATATCATCTACCAAGTATATATTAGACATTTTGCAAGATGTTTAAATTATTAAACGAGTATTTACGCATTCGCAATAACGGATATTCATGGTTTTGTGGAATTCTCGTCAAAATTTCCTTTGTGGATGGATCCTTGCTTTTGTGTATTAAGTTTACTAAGGGTATAAAGAGAATGACGCACAACACACGCGTCGTATACTAAGAATTATGAAGAATAGTTGAAGGCAAAGGTCCCCCCATTCACTTGATAATGCGCAATACGTTGTAAAAAGCTTGGACGGACGCAGACCTGAGAAAATGTTGAAAATCCGTGAAAGAGATCAGATGATAATATTCGTTGCAATTCTGCGATCCAGCGATGCAATCGACGTGCTTACGTGGACAAATTTTTGAGCTCTGCACGCTTTTGGCGGTGGATGGGTGGGGGGGGGGGGTAGAGTTTTGCAGGGAGGAGTTTAGAAATGGTAAGACGTCCTCGATAGCCTCATACGTTTAATACAATCTTGGTGAAGTTTGTTCACCTCATGAAACCAAATCTAACCATTTATTTATTATAAAATGGTAAAAAATACCGAATGATTCCCTCATTACCGAATGCCCGAATTAATGGCCATATAACAGCCATTCAGCTTTCACTTAATGCAACACAAATGACAAAATGTATGGTGTCACTGTCTGGATTTTGTCCAGAATTGCGCGGCTGCAAGTAGACAGGTTAGGTTATGGCAAAAACAAGTTTGGGGAGAGATGCAATGACTACACTTTGCAGGGTCTCATGATTAGCCTTTACTATTCCCAACATAATCACACTAATTTATTATATTGGGTCGTTGCTAATAACAATACAAACATTATCCCGATGTCTACCTGTACTTTGATTGTAAATGCCGAGGGCTGACGACATGCATTGTTTTCATCTGGTTTGTTCTTTTTTAGTTTCTTCTCCCTATAAAGAGCCGCTTTTCTACTAAAGATGTAGTAGTCTGTGCTGGGACATTCTCTTGCTCGTGACACATTCCCTGGATATCGCTCGAAATGCGCTGGCCAGTAAGATTAAATATATTAATGTTAATTAACACAGGGTTCATGTGGTGGAATACAAAAATATTAGTTAGTAGCCAATCAGAACATTACCCTATGTATCAAGGCAATAGATATGCCCTATCTTTTCCGGAAATAACTTCGCTTGTATGTTTGTATCACCTATCACATACTCCCTTGTTGCCTTTTTGTACAAAAATTTTATAGTTATTGTTCGATAATCCCGATCGGCGGCGCTGACAAGCTTTTATTATTACCCTAATTATAACTTTTGCCACAGACGTGGCGAAGTAAACCGGATTTCCTGTAACTTTAATAAATATAAATACCTAGGATGTGCCCCACTGCTTTCTACATTTTCCCATAATCATTTCGACACTTACTTCAAAATGGCCTCCGAAATAGATAGTAGTGAAAAAGTGACAGATTATCTGCGTGACAGTGATGTAAAAAGACGAAAGGAAAAGAAAGCTAGATTGATAATCGTATTCACGATAGCTTTCCTTACATTATTATTTGCTGCATGGAACATATGGCGCATGGTTATTGCTGTTCAAGAGCCGGTAGTAACAATCAAAGATGTAACCCGTTCTGAAATACCGGTATGATGGAATATCATTAACGTTTTCTCCACTTCCAATTGCTAGTTTGGAGAGAGTATGGTCTCTTATTACAAACCCATTCCTACTTATTAAATATTAGGTTCCGGGTGTGGTCTTTTGCGGGACATCGCTGGATATGCCTATAAACTGTTTCAAGGCAGCAATGAATCAGGCAGATGATAATTACGCCGCGGTATGCGAATACTTTTATTAAATGCCGTTCTCCCAAAAAATTGACAAGTTGATTAATTAATCAATGCTTGTAGGCACCTCCATGTGACGAATACATACGCAGCCCCACTGATGCATCGAGTTATGTCAATTTACAAGGATTCGTCAATCTCACAAACTACTATTGCTGTAAGTGACAATTCTTAGTTCTTTATGATATGATACTGGCATTTGGGGGGGTGATATTCATGCTCGCTTATCGATTTAATAGATGAATTCAATCCCTCGGTTCCGGCCAGTGGCGATGGTCCGCCATTACGTTATAATAGCACAATTCAAAAAATTATCCTTTCGCTTTGGTCGAAAACCAAGGCGAATAATACGGTATGCCTTTCCTACTATTCTTGTTTCTGGTTTTCTTGGCAAGACGATGATTTTTGCTCACGTGATTAATCTCTTCAAAAACGATAGTTGGGTGCCATCACAAATGATGCTTGGTATTTGTATGCTGTCTTCTCAGAAGTTGAAGATCCAAGGGATGCAATGTTTCAGATTGTCAAATTCGTAAGTAACCTCTCTTGCTTTAATCACTGGTCGATTGGTTGGATCACATGACGACTTTCTTACCAACCGTATTCTTTGCTTCATAGCCCGCAATAACCTACGTCTACTTTAAAAGACTGGAAAAATACGACTCTACCAAGTCAGATGCCATAACTGGCGGTCGCTCGAGCGCTCATCAAAACAACGGAGCACATGTTGAGCTTGATACTACTCTGTCAACCTTTGATATTGAAGGATTTGGTATCAGTGCAAATTTGTGGGGAATATTCAGAATCATACCAGAACGCTACAACTTTGATGCAGCGGCATTGTCGTATACGTATCCAGTAGAGATTTGGAATAACAGAGTTGAGTTTACGCTGTTACAGATGGCAGCAAATATGGGAGGTTTCGTTAGTATTTTGACAGCTCTGTACTTGTTGCTATTTGGAACGAGGAGGACTGTTCCGTGGGGAGTTGTACAGAAATACGTGAGTATTGGGAAAGCGAGATGTCTTGAGTTTTGAGTTTAAAGCATAGGCCTAAGGTATATAACTCTTTTTTGGCTTATTTTACATCAGGTTCTCAAAAACATCCCACCGCCGCCCCCCGTCTACACCCCGGCGACGCTTCCACCATATGCAGACAGCCGCTTTCATGCTTCTGATCAGGCAGAAGCAAATCGGATGAATAATCTTGAATCTACGACAAATCATCCCGAAGTGACACCTTATCCAGACGACGCTTATCCCACTACTGCTTCTCCTCCGGCACCATTCCCATACTATGGTCTCGATCCTGCTGATAGGTTACTAACTGCAGAGAGACATAATAACGAGGCAGCTGACGATCAAGAGGCGGCAAATTTCTATGAATTGAATGATCCTGTGATGTTGCGATTACGTCAGGAATTAAGAATGGAGGTTCAGAGCACTATTGCAAACGAATTGGCCAAGATGAGAGCTTATCTGAACAAGTACTATTTTCAGGGCGAGTTCAAATCAGAATGAGGATATGATGATGATGATGATGATGATGATGTATAGACTTGATAGATGGGGGAAAGTGTAATTAAACATATTAGCAATGGGTGTAAATATAATTTTGATTAACTATATAATCTATTTGAACGAGCATCAATCTTTGTAGTAAATATATGTGTGATAACGACATTGACATAAATATATCCTTTGGTTGATAATTATATTCCCTGTTCGAATATGCATGCAAAGATGAATCAAAAGCAAAAAATATACGCGATTTATGAGTAAAGTCTGACGACATCACATCCTTGTTCGCCGTTCATTTATTTTATTATGTTTATTGTATACATGGAATCATAAGCATAAAAGGGGGGGGGAGAAGATTTAAAGAATAATAGTTCACTTGGAACTCGTGTATTTAGTGACAGCCTTGGTGCCTTCTGATACTGCGTGTTTAGCCAATTCACCGGGAAGAATAAGTCTGACGGCCGTTTGTATTTCCCTCGACGAGATAGTGCTCTTCTTATTATAGGCAGCCAGTTTACTTGCTTCGCTGGCGATACGTTCGAAAATATCATTTACAAACGAGTTCAGGATACTCATGGCCTTGTTAGAGATACCAGTATCTGGATGGACCTGCTTGAGTACTTTGTAGATGTAGCTGGAGTAGGTTTCTTTTCTGACTTTCTTCTTTTTGCCTTTCTCCCCGGCGGCTTTCTTCTCCTTCTTTTCAGCAGGTGCCTTAGTAGCTGGTGCCTTGGCGGCTGTGGAAGCTGGTTTCTTCTCTGCTTTTGGTGGCATTTTTTAATATGTGTACTGTATATGGATACGTATATGTGTGTAGTATATTGGGATTGAGCAAGAGCGAGCGGCGGAGAGGTTGGAATATTAGTTGTTTATGAATAAACTCCGTGTAGGGCAAGACGTACGACGAGTAAACAAGTGGCTGGAAGTGAGCATACCTTTATATAAGCGGTTGAAAGACGCGTGTGCAGAGTTGTTTACGGTGTCTTCGCGGATACAGGTCTTTAAACTGTGCTGGGTAAGAGTCAAAACAAATCGTGCACGCGGAAGAACCAAGATGGGAATGTACAGATTATATAGGTGGGGTGGGCTGTTTGCCTATTGAACGTCGAATATTAATCACGTGAAGTCGAGTCGGTAACACATGAGAATATACTGCGGATACGTAGCGAGATTATGATTGTGACTGTGGGTATAATATACAACAATACTAAAGATAAGACGTATTCACAAATAATACGATTACCACATTATTAAGCATTTATTATTAATTTGCATTTTTTTTTTTGCTAAAATATTAGGACCGTGTTACGTAATATATCTCAGTCACTGCATTGATAGCGCTTGACGAGGACGATTTGATCGCATGTTGGTAAGCATTTGCCAGCCACAAACCAGACTCTTAATGGTCAATAAACGACGCGTTATTGTTTGAATGAAACAATCAAAAAGTCATAAACCTCAATTAGGGTATTCAATCATATCATGCATGAAACAATAATTATTAATTAGGGTTAATTAATTGTTGACTAATTTAACTTGGTTATCATCACGTTACTCACGTTACGCACATGTTCATTATTTTCACATACTTGCTTGCTACAATCACGTCCGAACGCCGTGATTTTTGTGTCCTTGTTGTCAATCGATCTTTTACCTGTTGTTTTGTTCTACGCCGAAAAGTCACGCGACGTGACTGTTATTTGTTTACGTGTACAATTTGCGTAATTTTTATATAAATGCGCCATCCTAACCCACTGACCACCCGAGGTCAAAATATACGCAATTACGTACATCCACTAACTATTATTAGTCAGACCAGGTACCCCCCCTTTACAACAACGTAACCTTTTACTCACATACCCTTTCTCTCTCTCTTGACTTCTTACTCAACCCGTCTCTAATAACATGTCTGGAGGAAAATCTGGAGGAAAATCAGCCGCCGCTACGTCTGCAAAGGCAAGCTCATCTCGTTCCGCAAAAGCAGGACTTCAGTTCCCTGTCGGCCGTATTCATCGTCTTCTCCGCAAAGGAAACTATGCTCAACGTGTAGGTGCTGGCGCACCAGTCTACCTCGCTGCCGTACTCGAATACCTTGCAGCTGAAATCCTTGAACTCGCTGGAAATGCTGCCAGAGATAACAAGAAATCAAGAATCATTCCTCGTCATTTACAGTTGGCGATCAGGAACGACGAAGAACTGAATAAACTACTCGGCCATGTAACAATTGCTCAAGGCGGTGTATTACCAAATATTCATCAGAACTTGCTGCCTAAGAAGAATAATAAGAAGGGTGCCGCTGCTCCAGAAGTCTAATTCATGAACTATCGAACAAATTCTATCTTCTTTTTTCCTTGTTCTTTAATAATTTCATCTAATGATAAAAGGTGTATTGTATTTTGGTGTGTTGAAATAAATAAATGCATTGAAATGCATTGCTTGTAATGCTCGTATTGCTTGTAAGCGTAAACGAATGAATGATGAATGAACGAATCATTTCAATTGTATTCTGACTTGTGAAAATATCTTTACATGAGCTCTAAAACATCGAATCCTCGTCTCGCAAATACTCTCCAACGTCCGCCTGATGAAAAACAACAATATCTGTTGGTTGAAGTTTCCGTATGTCTATTGTATTCCGTGCTGTCACGCCAAATCCCTATACAAATAAAGAGAAAGCGAATTGATATTAAGATTCAAGACGTTTCTGAACGCTGTTAACGACATAGTGGATAAGTCTTCTCGGTGAAAGAGTAGATCGCGTAATTCTCTACTGATATTGGTGTCAACACCTTAATTCCGAGCTTCTCATTCCACTCTCCACCCATTGATCACAAACTTACCAATGGCACATCTGCCATAGAGTAAATAACGACACCTTGGTGCTCGGGCGTGTTTTCCGTTATCCGACCAACATGAGCCTTGAGAACGTGATTGCCATATAGAAAAGACATTTCTCCGTTGGGTTTTATCCATACTTTGTGCTAGAAAGAGATTTTCAATGAAAGAACGAGTAAGATATGATAGATTCTAGTAATTGATTACTGATTCCATAGCAATCGTCATTAACATCGCTATTGGCTTGCCCGACCCACGAAAACAGTTATCGCAATCCCCGTGTCTCGTTACAATATCTCACCTTGGCATACTGAGCCAAATAATCAAGCGCTGTTATATGCAATTTAAACTTGCGTGTCTTTGTGAATTTGCCGAAACATACTCCAAGCGAAATTAATAGATCTCGTCCAACGCTTGTTGCTCGTCGCATTATAGATTCACTTTAATAAAAATTAGATAGGAAAGAATAACAGGTTAGAATGTGGAAACAAGAAGAATAGATTGGTAACATGAATGCGTTGATAGCATAACAGGAAATTGGTAGAAGCGAAAGGGCGGGGAGGCCGATGGGTATGGTAGAGTTGCCATAAGCTAAACGCGCAAAGTCTCTATCATCTGGGACAAGTTATCCTGCATCATTGTGTGCCAAAGGGTCATCTTCTAAAAGGTGATCGTACGCTTGTTCGTTCGCTCACTCAACCCCCGTCCATCTGCTTATCCAGTCATTCGTGTGTTTGCTTATCGCCCATCTGCTCATGTTTCATTGATCCATCCCATTTCCTCACATACGTAAATAATATAGTCGATGAAATTTACCTGACATAATACACTCTTTCTTTATGTAATCTGAAGCAATAATTTCCATCTGGTCTATCGACTAGGTGAACAATGTTCCTTCCAATACTACAAGAAAGCATGCGGTATTTGAATCATACTCATTGAGGAGTAGACGATCAAAACGTCTCATCAGTATCAACTTACTACTTTGATAACTTCTCGAAAAATGTTTTGGATTCTTCTTCCGTAAGTGGTCTCATTATGGCTCAATGTGCAAAACTTTAAAATTTGAATTTGTAGTTGTAACTGTTGTAACTACGTTGTGTCGAATCTACAAATTAATAACTAACGTTAGAATTGATCCACGTGACGTTGAAGCAATTCGATATTCCAACTTGAAGATTTCAGAATTGCACCAACTCAAATTCCCAATCTTTCGCAGGATAAGGCCGGGGCATCACGGTACTCACAAGGCGTACTCGAGTAATCTTACTCGTTGTGAACAGGCAAAAGACAAAGAATTGGATCTAGGAGACAGCAAGAGGTAACGGATAATGCTGAATAGAGCGAGTCAAGCCCGGCGTCGTGCGGGAAAAATTGTTTAAATTGATGCAATAAGTATTCGATGCGAAGAATCCACTTTTTTTTTTTCAGATTCAAACAATCAGCATTGAAGTAGTCAGAGTTTCAGGTCAATGTTAAAATTTGCTGCGCTAATGACAATCCGACCAATTATAGGCCATCCAGTAGTAGGTCACAGATCTCCAACAAAAGCGATGCAAAATTAATGATTGAATCTTCCTTTTCGATTAACATTCCTTGACTGTAACGAGGATCAGAAATAATGGTACGTGAATGATATACCTTTGTACAAAGAAATCTGCATTAAATTTCGCTAGAAAATGTGTTAAGTTAGTTGAGATGAATTGATGGATGGGTTAAGATAGTGCGAACTGATCGGGAGAATTCCTGAGACTACTACTGTATGTCACTGCATAAAAACCCAAACTATGCAGAGAGATCTTGTGAATGGAGCTTTTGTCTACGAGCAGGCTTTAATTGTTCACTATGTAGACTACCACGGAGGTGGAATTCAGTATCGACCAAGTTTAGGTAGTTAGTAATTTGTAGGCGTTGTATACAGAGTCATACTCGATCAGTTAAGGAAAAACAGAAGCATTGGCAGAATTACAAGACAATTCTTTACCTTTCTTTGAACACACACACACATACTTATTACACGACAATCTAATTACAGCCTGCCAGACTAAAGAAGAACCGCAAGAAGCGCGGACACGTATCTGCCGGACATGGTCGTGTTGGTATGTTATTAATGTTTATCTTCCGACCTGTGTTTAGCAGAGTCCTAATTTCTAGCTAATCCCCCTCCTGAACTTTTATGAAACACCTTTCATAAAAATTAATTCTCACATCCTGCTAGGGAAACACCGTAAGCATCCTGGAGGCCGAGGTCTTGCAGGCGGTCAGCACCATCACCGCACAAATATGGACAGATTCCATCCTGGCTACTTTGGTAAAGTCGGAATGCGGTATTTCCACAAGACCAAAAACCAGTACTACAACCCAACGCTGAACCTTGACCGATTATGGACGCTGATTTCGGAAGACACAAGACGTGCGCATGCCAAGCAGAAAGATGTCGCACCCGTTATCAATATTTTGCAATCGGTAAGTGTTCACAGTAATTGAAATTTCGTGATGTACTAGCATATATATATATGAATGGGGATATGAATACTTTTACTCATCTGTTGGCATCTGCTCGGATATTGATTTATAACTCCTTTTACAGGGATATAGCAAGCTTCTTGGAAAAGGCCGACTTCCTGACCAGCCTGTTATAGTCAAGGCTAGATCGGTATCACGTCGTGCTGAGCAGAAAATAAAGGCCGCTGGTGGTGTCGTCCAGTTGATTGCGTGAAATATTGCCGGATCCTTGTAAACACCAAATATAGGCTCCTGTAGACATTGTTGAGTAAATCTGTTTATTAAAGTATGATATCTTTGGCTACTCTTTCGGTGGGACGCATAACTTTACTCCAAGATAGCATAATAAACGAGTCTAAAGACTCGTTGTCAGTAGTCAGGTTGAGGGATCTCGGTGCTTTGCAATTATGGCAGAATTCTGTACATGCTAAACACAATTTATCTTAATTATATAGCAAATTTATTTCGTGGACATGTAATTGATTGCCCAGCCATTAACTTGTAGACCTTTGATGCTACCAACGATGCAATATTCGTAACAGTGCTGGCACTCATATTAACATAGAACCCTATTTGGAATTAATATTTCAATCTTGGCAAAACAAGTGACTGGAAAAGGTCAAAATTCCAAACATAATGCTGTATTTACTATATGGAGCATAGTTCTCTACGTGAAACAATCTCTTCTATCAGCGTTAACACCTTTGCTAGGGTTTCTCTTCTCTCAGTAGTTGCCCAACTGTATGGAGCATAAAATCGAAAGTTCATCATTGATTACGATATACTCTTGTGAATTTTTACCAACACGCCAATTTATTATTTACCCCAGGCATGGAACGCTCAGAGTGATATAGAACTCTTTTCCTGGTGTTCTGCGAACACGTGCTCTTACAACGGACGCGAATAAGAGAAAAGTTATGAGATCTGCTAGTAGCCTCTGGAAGTAGTTAAATGTACGTGTACATCTATAGCTCAGCAGTAAATATATGCTTCTCCCCCGGCAAAAGCTTCGATAGTCAGACGAAGAGTCATTCTGAGAGTACCTTCGCCCGATGTCAGCCTAGTAACAAAAGAAAGTAGTAAAAAATTTAATATTTTACAATTGAAGGGCGAACCGTACAACAATGTACTCCAATTCCATTCCTTCCCTTAGCACACCAAACTTGTACTCGTATCCGTATTTCCTGATCTGATTCTATCCCCGGTGGTGGTAAGTCCATAAAAGTTGGCTAACGGCCTTGCTTCACTAAGTCATCGACAAAATCTGAGTAGCTGTTTGGATTGGCGTAATCAGAAGCAAAGCGTTTTTTTCCCGGCGACTCCGGTTCAAGCGAATGGCACAAGAATTTGTGACATGCACTGTAGATCTTTGTTTATCGTTCGTGCGCACAGATAGTTAAATTGGAGGGTCAGTCTCTCTAATTTAAATTTATCATTACTGGGCACGGGAAGAAAGCTTCCGTCAGCGCGCCAACTCCAAATTCCCCATCATTTGTTCATGCACAGTCACCAAACAAGTTTCTATTTGAATCATTTACCAAAAGTTTTAATCAAGAATACATGGGCATCATACATGTTAAGTAAGACATTAATTTAAACTAGTCACTAAATAACCACATAATCTACACTGAACAGGAGCTTTAAGCAGTCTAACAACCTCCCGAATGCATAGAAGTGTGTCAGCATCACTGGCAACATGTGGATGAACGTGTTGGCTGTAGAATGGAAAACTATATTAGCAATCTGGTTTACTTATCGCTAGGACAGCAAAAAGAGCGAAAGAAGCTAGGAATCCTTACAGGAAATCATATATTTGTTCAAGCGCCAAAGTGGAAGCATTTTCTTCTAGTCGCATTGTTGATGTGACATCGTGAAGGAGTTGCACCAAGTGAATGATGTACTACAAAACGAGTTGTCTCGTCAGTGATAAGGTAAATATAATAAACAATTTACAACTTATGTTAGAACTGTCTTGTATGAATGATAAATGGCTTCTTCCATCTATCAAATAGTATATCATAAACTGGGATACGTCAAAGCTTACCTCTTTCATAATTATAACATTCTTTTCCAACCTATATAAAACAGGTCCCATAAGGGCACACAAGTACAAGACCTGCACGTCAGTTTTAATTTCATCTCTAAATATCAGCATAGATCCAAAGAATCTTTCCACAATATCATTGTTGGAATAGTGTATAATGCTGTGAGCAAGAGTGAGGAGCGTGTTGGGAGCGTTCGTTCCATAGTTGTAGTAATTAGAAGTATAGTCTTTGAATATATACGGAAACATTATAGTCTTGACTGCCTGTGGTGACGGCGGTTCTAAGAATGGGTTCGGAGGGTCCATTGCAAAGAAGGATGCAGATTTGTCGGATTGTGTATTGGACGGTTGGGAAAATAAATTGTTGTAAGACTGTTATCAGGAAGTGTTTGTTGAAAGAAGGAATGTTAGCATGATGTAAGAAAAAAAGGGAATATTAATATTTTCTCATTCATAGACAATATAATACTAAAATGCACCGTCGTAGCACTTACCAAAGTACAGACAGCAGATGGCTCCCTCAAATGAGCATCTGTCTTAATAACATTCACAACTTCCGTTAACATAGGTATAACAAACTCATCTTGTGGCAAAAATGAGAATAACAACGCAACCGCATGAATAATTATTGGCGGCACTGCAACATTCTTTGTTCCACGAACTAAAATTATATTCAAAGCCATTCTAACAACATCAACTGGCTCAATCGGCGTGGCTAAAATTTCCACACAGGCGATATACAGAGCCAACACCATCGGATTCGAGATCTCACGGAAATGGCGTTCTGGAAGGTGAGATTTTGTCTTGGGGGCGCATTTTTGTGGGAGCATGTCTGTTGCGTTTCGTATGATTATGTATAGGTGGTAGCGAGTGATAAGTATTAGATAGCGCTAAATATTATTTGATAGCGTAATAAACAACGTTGAACGAGCACTTACTATCGGCTAATTTACGAAAGACCTTGTCGAAGTAATTCTCATCGAAAATTTCTGCACCAATTGATTCGTTATTCACATATTCGAGCAACTCTGGGGCCATATCATAATCATCGAAATCTATTCATCGACAATAAAATTTGGAATTAGGCTACTATTTACATCAACTCGCTCCAACATTCATAACTGATATTCAACTTACCTAGTAACTTTACCAATCTTCGACATACATTTGGATTTCTAATAGTACTAGCCGGATAGTAATAACAGAATAAATCTCTAACAAATGAAAGTGGCGTCTGATGATATCGATATAACTTTCCGTATTCATCTAGGAACTTCAGTAACTCTATGTTCCCAAACGCTATCATATTCCCTACCAAAATATCAAATATGGGCAATGTTCGTAATATGACGTTTGAGTAATATATGGGCATTTGGATATCTGGTGGTGGGTTTAAAGGTGTATTGATGTTTGCATAACCGTCCATTGCAAATGCTTCATATTCATAAAATTCTGGATAATCTTCAAGATACTGCATTAGCTTTCCAT